GTTTTTCTTTTCGATGTTTTTTGTTTCGACATTTTTTGTTTCGGTCTTTTCTATGCATACCGTAAAATTACCTCCTGAGTGTCACAAATTTTAAGACTGGGCTGTTTAGAGTTTTTCTGCAAATTATTAGAACGAGGAATACGATGGTCAAGTTTTTCCTATTTGAATCGTACCATTAATAGATAATTAATATATCATTTACGCATAAATGAGCTACATAAAGATTGATAAATTGTCTTACAGAAGGTCTTATGAAAAAAGATAAAAGAAATATATATAAATGATGGTATATGTTTCGCTTTGTTGTATTGCATCTTATTCCAAACGATGAAGATGAAATTCGGTGGTTTGAAATAAATATAAACTAATCTTTTTGAGCTTAAAAATAAATTGCCGTGAAAGGATAACAGAGGACAAAGTGAATATCGTGTACTTTAGATCCAACAAAAAAATGTTTTTAATCATACACGTTATCTTAATAGACTACAATGAAAAGAGAGCTCATTAGCACAGACTCAAATGCTTTTATACGATTAAGAAATTCAAAAATTTTTAAAGAACAAGATTTTCTCAATAAAAAGTGCAAAAGAACGGATCCACAGAAATGAGAGTCATTGCATGTAATGTAGTCATAGGAAGCCTCTTCAACTACCCATGTGAATTTAGAGGCATCTATATAATTTTTAATCATTAAACCCAAAATCCTTTGGTACTTTTGTTAATTAGTGGTTTTGAAGTTAGGATAAATTGAAATCTTCATTCCTAGTTGATGTGTATTTACTAAGTGTAGCTTAGAAACAAATGGCGAACGCTAAACCAATCCATTACACCAAACCATAGATTATTATTATGTACGACATAATATTTTGATGAAGGGCAAAAATGCCTTTAATGGCAGCCATCTTTGTTATTCGATTTTTTTAAAGTAAAATTAATAATATTGAATTGAACATTCGATTTTCTTTGATAGAATAAAAACGGCAACGAAAAGAGTGAAACGAAAAAAAGAAATGAAACGATCGAAATTATATGGATGGCTACAATAGATGACAGTGGCAAGCAATGGAAGGAAAAAAATTGATAAACTATATCTGAAAAATATAAATACTTGTTTTACCTGTATGCATAACATAATAAGCCTCATTCTGCTGTTATAAGAACAAGTCACCCAACTGTACCCTGTTTGATATTCCTTTTTTTGTGCTGTTGTTCCATTTTTTTAAAACAAAATTACTTTAAAAAATGACCTAATTTTTGAACAGCCCAATATATCACCGTCATCTATCGTAGCCATCTATATATTTTCGATCATTTCATTTCTTATTTTTGTTTCACTCTTTTCGTTGGTCACATTTTTCGATGAATATATTTTCTTTCCTGTTCTCGCTTATGTCTAAAGTGAACTAGTACCAATTCCGTTACTTGTCGTCGTAAATGGTATTGCATGAGCTTCATCTTTAGAAACAGAAAGTCAACCACCAAATATGCCACAAACGCCACCAAATTCCAATGCATCTTCATCACCAAATTCAAATAATAACAATGCAATGCAAGTAATAATTCAGGAATTAAAAGATCTAAATAAGAAACTGGACATAATGAACAATCAGATAACTATTATGAACGACAAATTTTTCTGTACTCAAATGGGGATGCTTAGTTTTATGGTAAGTTTTACCGAGTATTATATACGAAAATAATTTATCTATTGTTTTAGGTTATTACATCATTATCAATGATAGTGATTTGTATCAAAAAATAAGTCTATTTGTCGTGTTTTTTTTATCATATGTAAAAAGTCATATTAGATATTGAATACATGTAAAAAAGTTCTATTTCAAATGTTATTGTCTAAAGGACGAGTGGCGGTAAGGCCACTTTTCGGCCCAAAATATTTTCAAGAAATAACTACATGATGGTGACCAGATCCATATGGGCTACAAATATCACACGGTCATTTTGTTTAAAATTACTTCCGGATTTTCGACCCCCGTACTCCCCTAGGGGATTCGAAAAAAATTATTTTTCAAAATTTGCCTTTTTAAAGCTGTTAGAGATATCAAGTCAATCGTGCTGATCACGAATATCGCCATCATAAATCTTAGAAATGTGACGCTATGTTGAATTTCGAGTTCGACTTATACTTGAATTTTAGGGTTCAAACCTGGGTTTTGGCTATCATATCCCATGACCTATCCTCTAAAACGTCTGAAAGAGTATCAGTAATATGTAATTTTTCAAGCTTTATCGGAATTCCAACGAATAAAGATGATTGGAAATACTTAACATTTTGTAACTGTGAAACACGAGGCGGATTAAGGTAAGGTAAACGGAGGGCACTCTCTTTCAGTGTTTCTCTAGGGCACTGAACAATTTTGAACACAAATGAGACTATAGTAGTTTGATGCAGTTTTTCATGCTCTATCCAACTATGGAGACGAAAAGGATAAAAACGGCTGGCATCAGGTGAAAAACTGCGATATACCAGCAAAATTCCTTATTTTCACTCCTATTTCGAGATTTCGACAACCAAAACGTAAGTTTCATGCAAAGTAGACATGATATTCGGAATCAGCATCAAAATCTACATCAAATAGCATATATTTTATCAAAAAAAATTTTTCGTCAAAATTCGACCCTTTGGGGGACCACAGGGCAAAATTGAGTAAAAATCGTTGAAGGGGAGTACGATCGAATTCTTGAGAAAAAAAAAGTTTTTTGATAAAATATATGTTATTTGATGCAGATTTTGATGCTGATTCCGAATATCATGTCTACTTTGCATGAAACTTACGTTTTGATTGTCGAAATCTCGAAATAGGAGTGAAAATAAGGAATTTTGCTGGTATATCGCAGTTTTTGACCTGATGCCAGCCGTTTTTATCCTTTTCGACTCCATAGTTGGATAGAGCATGAAAAACTGCATCAAACTACTATAGCCTCATTTGTGTTCAAAATTGTTCAGTGCAGTAGGAGCCCTATAAAGAAGGGCGTCCATGCATATTCTATCAGGATTCTCGTCGTATATTGCTGTAAAAAGCAGTTGAGCATTTCAAATGATCTTTATTCATGCAGATTCGGATATAGCTTCAAAAATTTGCATCAAAAAGATGCTTTTTTAGACCTTATAGACACTAGTCTATGTGAGAGGAGGGTCAAAAATCTGATTTTGACCTCAGAATTCAGAGATTGGAAAAATGGTCTTATTTTTCAGGATTACATTTTTGAATTGTGAGATAGCGATATTTATGATCAACACGATTGACTTGATATCTCTAACAGCTTTAAAAAGGCAAATTTTGAAAAAAAATTTTTTCGAATCCCCTAGGGGAGTACGGGGGTCGAAAATCCGGAAGTGATTTTAAACAAAATGACCGTGTGATATTTGTAGCCCATATGGATCTGGTCACCATCATGTAGTTACTTCTTGAAAATATTTTGGGCCGAAAAGTGGCCTTACCGCCAGTCGTCCTTTGATAAGTTATCTATACAATTTGTTTTTTGTTTTCTCATAACGAAATCAATCGGCGAATTAATATTTACACTGATGAAAATTCATTTCCATCGATACTTCCATGTATAAGAATACCATCTTCATAATCTGAAATATTAATAATTTCCTTATTGAGACAAATAATGCTCTATTATGTATTGGTCGTATGATGTGATACGTTGCTTTCGATTCTTATGCTGTGTGTTTAATATTCCTATTCATTTGTATTCTGTATAGTTCGAACAAAGTATTGGCATGCTAAAATGTTGAACAAAAGCGTTCATGAGAATTAGATTCTTCTTCAGAATTCATGGTTTTTTCTAGAGTAAGGATCTGTATATATACGAAAATTTTCGTGACCTAATTTACCGTTTGATTTCGAAGTTATATTTGTTTGTTTTGGTAGTAGAAAAAGTTTGGCTAGAAGTAGACAATGTATTATTATTTAATAGAAATGTTGGTAAATTATCAGGTGTGAATTGTTTTACACTATCAAGTGTGTTAACATTCGGAATGGTGTGGATTTGTTCAATGATGATATTTTCTGGGACAAGTTTATAATTCAATATTAACATCAAAGATATGATACCTTGTGGAGGATCAAGTATGACTGATATTTCAATCGAATTATCAGAAGCAGATACATGGCGATTTGGTTCGATTTGAAGTATATTTTGTACTTGTATAGGTAATTGATTTCAAGAATTGTACGTTTCATCAACAATATAATTATTTGAAATTTGTTCTAGAATTACTGCTGTTGAATACGAACAGGTTTATTACAATAAAATTGTAATTTTTTTAAGTATTATTACCTATTATTCGATTGTTTGTTAAGATCTCCGATTCATACGCCTACTGTTAATATATCAGGATGATTGCCGGGGATGGCGTAGTGGTTCTATGCATCTGATTACAGTCAGAGATCAGAAGGTTCGATCTCTTCCCTCGGCATGGTGCATTCGGTGTCAAGATATATGGTATCGGAAGAATAGATAAAAAGAAAAGCAACGATGCACGCTACATCGTCATCAGTGGCTTGATTTCGATTTTCATTCTGTTCGTTTTCATTTCTTTGTATTCTTTCTCTGTTTGTTATCATTATCTTGTCCGTTGCATACATTCGTAAGCGTCCACCAAAAATTGTAAAAAATCTCCCAAAAAAATCATGGATGTCACGAATAAAATTCAGCATAATTAAAAATCAGGATGATCACATGGAAAATAGTTTAGAATAATTTCCAATGCAGATTCTGCGGGTGTGGGTGTGGATGTCCGTGTGTATTCCCTCCGCACGCACTATACCCACACCAAGATCCACTCACACCCACACCCACACCCACCCACACCCACCCACACCCACACCCACCCACACCCGACACCCCCACACACCCGACACCCCCACACACCCACATCCACCCACACCCACACCCACACCTCACACCCTTACATTTAGTTTTGGTTAAAGTTTATTGATCAAGAAGTTTTATTCTTACAGAAAACACTCTTAATGACCTACAGCTGATGACATCATACTATTAAACTTTTGATCATAAAGACAACGATAAACTCGATCACTACCACTTGCAACTTGTCCACATAAACGTTCTTGATCATCACGACATGCCTAATACAAAGCATGATCAAGATGATAATCATCCGATTACATTTCAACTAAATGAAAAATTTCTTTTCGACATTGTGAATCTAATTGATTATGTTTTTGTAATAAACATTAAATAACAGCACCTTGTTCATGTGATAACTAAAAAGATACAAAAGTGTGTTTTTTTTTGTTTTATTCAGTAAATACATACATCTTGATTATCATCATCTAATCGGCCACATTCTAATTTTTCAATATCCAACACACATGCATCAACAAAATATTCTATTAAACGCCAATCATTGAAAATAATTACTTGCAATTGATTAATAAAATAACGACAGGATAGATCAGTTATGTCAGGTAAATCATCATATAAACATGACACAAGACGATTAGAACCAGAGATGGGCAGCTCCGACCCTTTCTATCTCCAGCTCAGCTCCAGCTCCAGTCAATAACAGACCGCTCCTCTCCGACTCCGCTCAAGATTAAGCAATATTCTGCCGACTCCGCTCTAGCTCCGCTCCTCTATCGAAAGTATTCGCTCTCGCTCAGCTCCAGCTCTACCCTTAATTAAAAAAATCCGCTCCGACTCCGTTTCGACTCCGCTCCTGCAAGAAATTTTCTTAATTATGCTTTATGATTAGCTGTGTTCAGTGAATTTCTCGTGAATTCTTTTTGCCATGATAATCGTGTTCGTTCAAGTGACACTTGGCTGAGAAGTGTTATTCTGATTCGGCACTATTCACCTTTCACATTTTATATTATGCAATTTCTCTCTTTCTCGACGTCATTTTCTTCCATTTCCAAAGAAACAATATCTTAGTCCAATTAGACAAACAAGAAAACTGTATATAAACGGTCAGCCATTGTTTCAGAGATTGTCATTGACTAAAATGTCACAATGGGCTATCCATTTCGATAATTCGCCGATGACGAGCTTTCTCTCATTAATTCTTCCGTCATTTTTTATAGAACAATAAATCGAAAACTGAGCTTATCATTGGAGCTGTAAATAAAATGTCGCTCCGACTCCGCTCCAGCTCCACCGTTCTGATGAATCGCTCCGCTCCGCTCTCGCTCCTGGAGCGGAGCTAGCTCCATGGAGCCACCGCTCCGGAGTCGGAGCTGCCCATATCTGATTAGAACCACGTGCATCAATAAGTTTTTCACATTCATCAAATAATTGTACATCTTTTGCACATTGTTTTTCAACTGCATCATCAAAACGTGGATCATGTGTCATATTATATTTAAATTTATAGATAAGCTAAAATAAAATTTAATCGATTAATTTAATATACAAAAATAAATAAAATTTTCTACTTACATGTTGACAATCAATATTAATTAAAGTTGTAGCCTATTGTTATAATATATATATAGATAGATAATTTATTTCTATACCAAAATAGACAAACAAAACTTACATTATCAAGATCATCAACACATTGTAATTCTTTTAAATTTGAAAGCACTTGTTGCCTCAGTTTATCACAATATTTTTGTACATCAGCTCTACATTCATAACTACTAGCAAGTGATATCGATGATGATTAGCGATTAGCATCAATTGATCGTTGTGATGGTAATTTGTCAGCATTTGGTTGTTGATAGCCATCATTACTAGCTGTATCGATTTCCGAAAGTTTGGTTTCAAACTTATTGCCAATAATTGATGATTGAATTTGTTTTTCTGATTGAAATATGGCGCTTCATCATTATGTTTAGTATCACTATTTTGAATATTAGAACCATATCTCTGAGCAAAAATGCCAGTAAAAAGAATATATAAGTGGAGAACAAATAACGGTCGACGTAGCATTTTTTTTCGTATCTGAAAGAATTCATTTTTTTGTTTTTGTTTTAGATATTCATTTAAAAAAACGATCAGAACTAAACCATATGTGTTATGTAAGTTTTTAAGTCAAATGGAAGAGATTTATAAAACAGTAATTATTCTTTTTATAAATAAATAAACAATAATATATAATGACAAATATATAACGTGCAAGATGAAATAATGCTGAATGCAGTTTTTATATCTGTTCCAAAGAAAAAAAACAAAAAAAATCCATGGATCATACAGAAATTATGTCAACAAATATTTTATTATAATATGTATAACTCTTACTGTTATAAATCCATTGTTCAGCAAAAATGATTATCCTTCGTTTAATAAAGATATTGATAGAAAGAAATATTCAATAAAAACATTTTGCATCAAATATTGAGGATATTCTGTGCTAACTTTCAGCGCCGTCGTTTACAGGATTAGGTCAATATGGACATTTTCTAATATGTATAGCGACTCCTTGAGTAAAGTCCCTACAATGAAAAAAAATCCTATATTAGAAGGATATCCACAAAAACCTTCCATGACGTCGTGAAATTTCATGCGTTTTTCACAAGCTTTTTTCACAAATCCAGTGAAATTTGAAGATATAACACCTACAAAGCTGAACTTGGAGTAAGAAGAAAACATTTTCTTATAACTAAAATTGCTTTTGTTCTCTAGTAACAAAAGCTTGATTTTATGGCACTTAGTTGCTGAAAGTGCCTGTTTGAATAAGAAAAAGATTTTAAAAAATCCTTAATTTTCTAGAGAAATTTTAGCAAGCGGCTAGCTCACCATATATAACCATCTTTGAAGGAACGATTCTGAATTTCCACAATAAATAGCCATGATCTTTTCTTCTGGAGGGATGAGGCAGAATGTTACGAGTACTACTTGAGTTCTTGAAAGATAAATTAAAAAAAGCCAATGATGTAGTTGATCCCCAAGCCTAGAAACTTTTTACTTTTTTCAATCGCAACACTGCAAAAGCTTTTCCAATTGTTCTTCAAGCATTTTTAAACATTCTCTTGTATGAAGTTTCTTCTCTTGATACAAAAGTATATTTGTTGGTAGAATAGTCATATAAAAAGGGTAAATTCAATATTTGTTGCTAAAGACATGGCGCCGGAAACAATATTTTTTTAATACTATCGACAAATACGCCCGAGAAATATATATATATATATACGATATTCTTGTTATACTCAGCCGCTGGAGATAGCTATGCTTTCACCTCTCGTTTTGAAATATCAACACAAATATGAACAGACTCATTTGACTACAGCATAGACCTGGGTAAGTGGTTACTTTGTCGAGTACGACTACTTACTCTTATTTGCCTTTCTCTGATCATTTAGAGATCCGAAATTCTCTATTACCTGCGGGTTTTTTACTCGTAAAACATTAAAAATGAAAAATCAGTTGTCATTTTAATTTTAAAGTTATTTTTAGAGTTGATTAGATTAGAAAGTTCAAAATAATAAACTTTCATGATTGCTTCTTATAAGATTCTAATCTTAACTTGTTGACCTTTATTTTAAAAAAACATTTTTCAAAAAGATTTAAATTTCAAAGAGAATTTTCAGATGTTATAATAGTTAATGAAAACCATCGTTATTTTGCTTTAGTCAACATGTTCATGGCATTTCAAATTGAATGTTCCAGAAGACAATCAGTCTTTCTGTGACTTTTTGACATTTCATAAAACTTCGAATATCATTGTCCAATTGTTTTCTTGTTGGAAATTTCACTAGAAATATCAATAAATATCTTTTCAGATAAAAGTTCTTTCATTCAAAACTATGAGCAATATATAATAACCTTGGTTAAATAGTTATAACTTTGCAGTAAAGGATTTGAGAGACTGTCTAGTCCAAAATACTTTCATTCTTTGGAATAATCAGGAATTCAAAAGGTAAACAATATAATAGATGCATTCATTTTTCAAAATGCTTATTTACAGTCCCGTTCACTTTATAGTTCGACGTGCTACCATATTCATATAAAGATTCTATATTTTCCTTTTAAAAACTGATTCATTCCATTAGAAAATCTTTTAATTGAAATAATCACAGGAGATCTGAACACATACAAAAAAAAGAAAGTAAACCAACTAACAAAAAGAGAATAGTCTCATGTTCCATCGTTACAAAACATCAACATCGCCAGATGAGTACCTGAATTTACAAAATAATGCACACACTAGACAAGAACAGAGAAAAAAGCAATGAAAAAGGAGAGAAAGGAAAAATGTTAACTTTCTTCAATGTTTTTTTTTTTTCTTTTTTTAGGACAAGAAAAAGTAATTCAATCCATCAAAAACGAATATCTGACAAATAATCATTCTCTAGCGCATAACAGAAAAAATTTTATGAAATAAGAACTCTTACCACATATGTGCAGGTTAAGATAGAGAGAAAAGAATTGTATAAAGCAATAAAAGAGAAATAGATAATGATTTTAAGGAAAATTTGTACCTATAGTTTGAATAAAATTATTGACTGTAAATGCGCTTGATTTCACAATAAAAAACTGAAAACCACATATTCAGAGAATTTTGTCGAAATTTGGCGTCATTGACGTCATTTCTTCGCAACAAGTAATTCTTTCTTTCAATTGTTATTGGGATCATGTTGGCAAGGGTATGTGTGTGTGGGGGTTAAAGAATGATCGACACTAATACTCATACCCTCCGTCAATCACGAAAACAACTTTCGAAGTAAAAAGAAGTGTTGATTTTATTTGAAAAAGGCAAAAGGAAACAAATTCAAAAGCGTTTTTCAAGCTTGATATAGAGAGCTTCTAGCTGACAAAAGAGATGTGTCTCATGAATTTTGAATTTTTGTTCCATTTCATTACCAGGCAAGATGATGTATTGATGAAGAAGACGCGTCAAAGACAATTTAAGTTCCATTGGAGCAAATCGCATTCCAACACAATTGCATGGACCTTGACCAAATGGCATGTATGCCATTGGATGTCGCCGAGTCAAATGTCGTTCAGGTACAAACAAATTTGGATCATCAGAACCCCATAAGTCTGGATCATAATGCAGTGAGAGCACGTCTGGCTGAATGGCACTTCCTAATAGTATGTTGCAGATAAATGAAAAATTTGTTTTTCAAAGAATTGAATTGACCTTTTTCTATGACATAACCACAAACAGTTGTTGTTTCATTACATTCTCTCGATACAGCTTTAGGTGCAATGGGAAACATTCGTAAGACTTCTCGTATAAATAAATCTAGATAGATCATATTATGAACTCGATCATAATCACTTCCATATTTGTCTTGCTGTTCGTCGATTTCTGCACGAAGTTTTTCTTGAATGGTTGAATGTGTTGCCAAAATATACGTACAATAGGTGAGTGCCGTCGATGTTGTTTTATAACCAGCGATCATAAACAAAAATACATTACTGATGACTTCTTCATATTGAAGCTTTTTCGACATAACATCACTATCATTATCATCCTATGTACTATGTACGTTAAAAAATTGATTATAAATTAAGAAATAGACACATTGACTTTTAATTTCATTTGGTGTAGAAGCATCCAGCATTAACTGTAGAAGATCAATGCAACGCTTTGTTTCATCAAATGATGCTCTTGCATCGACTATATGACATAAACGATCCACAAACCAAAAGCGCGGTAATTCTTCAGCAGTTTTCTTCCATTTATGTAGAACATGCATGAAGATAGCTTGACCGACAACGATATATGAAAGTATGGGAATAAGCCATGGCATCAAATAACTCAATCGAATCAAGGGATGTTTTTCGAAACTTTTTTTCGTGAGAATTTCGGCTTTATGCATATATTCATTGTCTATATCTGTTTGCATATTTGTATTGATTCCGAATGCACATCGACCTGAAATCAAAATAGGTGAAAGCAGTTTAAATCTTTGTACTCCCTGACCATCTCAGAATTATTTTTAGAAGGACTAAATGTAAATTTTAAAATTTAGAACCTATCTTCAAAAAGTACTGAATTTCGTTTTTTTTGTTTTACTTACAAATTACGTCCATAGTCAATTGTTTGTAAATTATATAAATATTACAATCTGCTTGTTCTTCACATTTTTCTGATAACTTGTCCATAAATGATTCGATACATTCATTCACCAAAGCTGTCATGAGTTTGAGTTTTGCAGCTGAAAATGTTGGATTAACAACAAGTCGTTGACGATGCCATTGATAACTACTAGCAATAAACAAACGCATTTTGTTTCGAGTTGCTATTCGAACAATAAAAGGAAGATGTCGTGAATGAAATGATGAAAATTGTTTCATGTAGATTTCCCGAAGAAACTCAGGATGGGACACAACATAAATGGGACGAGTACCTTCAAAAAGACCATAGATTGAACCAAATTGATGTGTCCATGTTTGCAATTGACGAGAAACAGACTCAATGGACCACAGAATACGACAGTGACCAAAGAAAAAGCTAGATAATGGACCAGGAATGCCACGATGTTTGAAATAGTCATAGCTCGATTTCAACATCCATAAATATGCAATGAGTATCACAATGACTGAGAAGAGAAGGATAGTAGTTAGCATAATTCTCCAATAAAAAAGAATGTCCATAACTATAATTATTAAAATAGATCTATTTTTCTGTTCTCTCAAATACGATAATCATAAAGCTATTGCTATATCAGAATTATTTACGAAAAAAATAGCTTTTTTCTTTCTCTCTCTTTCAATGTATGCAGTGGCACATTTGTAATATAAATATACGTTAGTAAAACAGGCATTGTTTGTAATTTGGATACAAAGACGTGTATTAAAACACACGAGTATGATCAAAATATTTACAACAAAACAAGATTGTCTATTCAGGCAAGGAAAAGAGTATGTTTTTATTGATATTAAGTGCATCCACATGAAATCATCACGCTAAATGGTAGAAGTCGAATACGAAAAACATTTCTTGTTGAAAATGATTATCTAGTTCGAAAGACAGCAAAAAATTTGATTCTAAAACAAAGATTTTCAACTTATTAGAACCAGCACTTCAAATAATATCAGCAATCAACTACATTTTTTAGTAATAAATGCTACAGGAATAGCATGATTTTTTCTAAACAAAGATCGTTTTCTCTCGTAAAATGAAATGTTCGATTTTTTTTTCATATATTTATTTTAATGATAGAATTTTAGTATGATATGTTCATTTAAGCCTAATTTAATACAATAATCATGCAACAACATTGTGTATGATGTTTCTTGTAGCCGAAAATAAATTGTATTTTACACCTAGGATAATATAACCGTATGTTGTTGTTGTCATCGTCGTGAACGAACCACGAGTACGAAATCTATTTTCAATAATATGCTGTTTTACGTAATAAAGTATCACAAGCTGTAATAAAACGCGATGCATAATACAAGTTTTTATTAACTTTTATATATATTTATATAAAACAACATAATATTGAAAACAGATTTCGTTTCTATGGTTTATTCACAACACAATATAGGATAATGTTATTGCCGTCGCAGTGGAATTTTTTTCGACTACACGAAACATCATACACAATATTCTTGTATGATTATTGTATTGAATTCGGTCAAAATGAATGACATGTAGTAAAATTCTATCATTAAGAGAATTATATGAAATAGCAAATCAAATTTTTCTATTGTAGATTTGCTTTTTTGAATTCATGTCTAATGATGACAGTTGCGTCATAAACATCAAAATATTGCTATACAATTTTTCTTAAAATAATCTCAATATTCTTCAGTTATAATACTACATTCTATTCATTTGCTCTTTCCGAGGGTTTCCATTTAGAAAGTTTATCAAGACTATTACTGTCTTAGAACAAAAGATAGGTTGAATGCCTCTCTGCCAAACCTTACATGAGTAGTTTTCATTCACAATACATTCTCATCATCATCATTCCCTTACACGTCACTATGGTATATTTCATGAAGACATGAGTGAATTATTTAGATAATGATCAGGTGCAATATATCAGGGAATAAAGCAAAAAAACGATCGTCTCATTTTTAATCTCACTATGACTATTTGAGAGTTTGCTAGTACCTTAATCATGTACATATACACACAGTGTCTCAAAAATATGTATACACTTTGCTTTTTGTCAATTTTCTTTATATACATTGACAGTAAGTTTTCATATATCAGGTATATAAATAAGACAATACTACTCAGATAAGCAGCATGCTATCAGCCTTGACCTACCCTATTTTTGGAAAATCTTACGGATACATTTCTCACACTTTTCTGTGGCTAAAACACAAATCAATTCGTTTTTTTTATTTGATTTATCTTTTCATTTTGTTATCTGTTTAGATCTTAGAACCAAGTGGTGCTATAATATATACTTCATAACTCTTGCTCGTAGTAAACAATCTAAATACAACAAGAAAAAACAATAAGTTTCTTTTATAGTGACATGAAAAAACGTGAAATGCGCTCGTAAGATTTTTCAAAATGAATGCAGCTTGAGACTGTTAATATATTACTTATGTGGATACTATTGTCTCATGTGTATGCCTGAAATATGAATACTCACTATCAATGCATACAGTGACCATTGAAAACGTATTCAAAATTCATTTCGTAGAATCATGAAATACAATGCACTAACTATAGCAATAAGCGCGAAAAGAGATTGGAATTCGCTAGTGTGAAATGAAAGAAAAAACAGATATTGAAGGTTTACAAAACAAAAAAAAGATATTGATACTATTACAAGAAAAAGAAGAAAAGAAACATGTTATGAAATACATGGTATTCTAAACTAACAAAACAATATCAACTTCCGAAAGATTGCTAAATAAATGTATTTCTTTCGAGCAAAGGTACAGGTAATGTGCAGTTTGCTATGTTTATTTACAGAAATCTACATGGAAGTATTTCATTCAAATCGATCAATATCAAGTCTCGATGGTGAATCCTTCGCTAAAACATACACTGAAGCGCTGATACGAAGTCAAAAATGATAGTGAATAACTGAATGAAAGGATAGATATCTTGACTACGAATTTGATTCCAACAATACTATCATTTAAACGATGGCTTATATTCAAGTTTTCTGAAAGAAGGTGTTATATTTTCTCTATCTTTCACTGATCTTTATTTCTCTACGTGTTAATGTCAAAAAGACTCTTATTCATTATACTTAGCAAGAGCAAATGAGATAACCGACCCGATGCTTTGTCTACTTTGTCTAGGTTGTAACAGATATTTTGAGCGGGTCAAGTCGTTATCGGTATTCAAAGCAAATCGTTTTTGAACGTGATTGTATCGATCGTTTTGTGATCAAACATGGTGGAAATATGAGTTCATGACAAGATGATAAATGTACAATAGATCGACGAAAACTTGTTTAGATCTTTTTATGCAAGACAATGTTTTCTTAATTTTAGAAACATGGAAAAAAATATTGTGAACATAGCAAAACAGTTTCTGCGGATCAAATGAATCATTTTACTTCCGAAGCAGCGCTAAGAACAAATGTGTCGATTATGATGCGTGCGAGTCTGAATGAATCCATGATCTTTTATTCTCACGCGCGCACGATCATACCTATACATACACTAATGATGACTCTTGGAATTGTGTATTTTTCTATTTATGTATAGAAACAGGCTTCAAAGAATGATTCAATGAAACAAATACTCTTCTAAATCTTTTTTTCCTGACTACTAGATGGAAATTTCAGATATCAATAAAGATCGAGACGAGAAAAATAGCTAAAAACGTTCTTAGTGAAAAATTACACTACGCTACAAAACATTTTGAGACACTCAGTATATGTTTGTGGTTTAGCCAATAAGCATCTAGCTGTCGAATGTGCGTGCTTTGTTATTACTCTGCTTTCTTCTTTTATAGATCAATAAGGAAGATAATAAAAACGAGTTATCTATTCCAAACATTAACGACACTAATTATCGCTCTATGAAAGACGAAACAATCTCAATACATACATCGAATGTTTTTTTCTGGCTGGTATGTATTATGCATATGTCGCTGCTCATGCACAATTCTTCGAACGATAATAATATGACCATTGACGCTTAATCAGCAGGAATATTCTCTTTACGTAGTACCGTTTATTGTTCTTATTTTTCTTTATCTCGGTCTCTCTTTGATATATATGAGAAGACAATAAACCAAGGATATTATTCAGTGCAGAAACATGTTTACTCGACTCATTGTTATTAGCATTTGGCTTAACTGTTTCTTCCTAGAATCGGTCTATAGCTGTAGTTGTATCGGTGGAATTCCGCTTTCACAAAGTTTCATCGAAGCTACCAATGTGTTCGTCGGAAAAGCAATTCATACTTTGGCCGATAAACAAGCTGGTAACCTACAAGTAACATTTCAAGTCCAAGAAGTTTTCAAGGGTTCGATAAAACCAGGTGATCGCATCACTGTTAATACAAGTTTGAGTGAAGCCGGATGTGGCATATCCATTCATAGAGACGAAATATGGCAAATATGGACACATGGTTCTCAAGATAAACTTAGAGTAGATTTCTGTACTCCGACGACAAAAGAAACTAATAAAAATATCAATTTCCTTCGACAACATACCTCATCGGTTTCTTGCAATCGACGATCCCTTATAGTAACCTTATCAGCTATTGTACTCTCATTTTCACATTTTTTTCCATCAGATTTTTAATTAGTCATAGCCAAAGTTTGTCGTCAATAATCCAAACTTTTCTTTTTGAAATGCAACTGTTCTAGAGTGACAGCAGCAATTATTGTATTAGTCTATGTAGTTTTTTTAATAAAAAAGTTGTTGTGCTGTGTCAATAAGAAATGTTATTGTCATTTGATTTTTCTTTTAAAAGAATCGCCGTGGTTTATTATAACTATAATAAAGAATTGAAATCTACTTCAATTATTGTAATTTTGTGGCGACAGAAATTAAGTAATTCGAAAGAATTGTCGTACGCTGAAATTTAATATTGAAAATATCGTTGCCCAAAATGAGCTAACAAGGAACGGTTTCCGCTGTCAAATTACTTTTTCATCGAGTATATGCTCAAAAGATAAATCTTAATGTCCTATTAAACAGCTTACAAGGGTTTGATTTTCTAGGACCGCTGAGAAGAGATATACGATTATTGCTAATACTAATTTTGCTATACTACTCTAATAACATATGCAATACCTTCACTAAACATGCATTGATCCAGCTCAAATTTATATCAGTATTAAGGTGCTCGGTACAGATTAAGATTTCACAGTTTGCAGATAAATCAATATTTTTTATCAAAAATATGAATCTGTTTGACAT